ATAAAGCAACAGTTCAACTCACCATCAGAAGCTGCAATAATTTTTATGTTTACTGCAAAAAATGCTACAGCACCAAGAGCTTATGGTAAATTTTTAATATATATTAATTAGACACTAGATAATCGGACAATAGCTTCAAAGATACCAGTGTGTCGCTCTTTGAATAAGCACACTTCAAATGTAAATTTCTTTAGGACAAAGTCTGGCGAGATATAATGTAATGTCACAGACTTGTATGAATTATTTGCTCTTGATGTCCAGTGGTCGGTGGTTATGGCAACCTGAATAAGATCTATGAGCTCTTTTTTCATAACTTCATGCATTACTACCTTTAGTGTATAGTAATGCTGAGGGAGTTTATTTTTTTTAGAAAGTCATTGAATGTTTTATTGTGGCATTTAGTAATATTTTGTTCATAAACCTCTTAAAATTTTCAGAATAAGCAAAACTGAACGGCAAACACTCAGTAGCAATCAAAGTAATGATCAACTATTAATTGACACCGATCTTGAAGTGGCCACTTTTTTGTAACCGCCTTCTTCGGGAGAGTGAGAGTTTTAAAGGCTGCATCTTTTGCGAATCCAGAAGCACCTGCCTCAATTTTGTTTATTTCTTCATCTCCTTGTGATCTCCGCTCGTCTTCTTTTTTTTGAAGTTCAATGAAAAACTTCCTATGTTGTGTTTGAATATGCTTTTGCAAGCCAGTAGTATTTGTTTGCTTTGTTGCAAGCTTATTTCCACAAGTTTTACACAAGAATCTAATAACATAATAATAAAATGGTTTTTATTTTTTTATTATAATTTTATTTTATTTTTATTAAAAACAACAGAGCCGGGGCGCTTCAAACTCACTTAGTGCCTGAGGTAAAATTAAGTTTTGGGAGCATTTACTGTAAATTTTACCTCTAAAAAATGTCAAAGGAGTTGAATAATTTCAGAAATATTATTACCAAAAAAAGACCCTTTGATAGGAGTGAATTTAATTTTTTTTAACAATTTATAGGTATCTTTAAAAAATTCAGAGTGGGCTGACATACAACATGGCTATCAATTTAGCACACTGTGCTTTGCGATTTATGAATTAGTGCTCCACCAATTAAATTAATTTTTTTTTAAATCCTAATAGTTAATAAACAATAATAGTTATAACGTAAAAATGTAAAAAAAAAAACTGTTTTTATTTAAAAAAAAAAATTAAAAAAGTTTAATTCCCATGAAAGACTTTAGAATTATTGCCCGGTAATTACCTTTTGAGATAAAGTATAAAAAATACTTAGTAAGTAGTGGTCATCTATATTTTTCTTGAAATAATCCCAGATAAAAGATGTTGTTAAAGGCATAAGGAGTAAAGATTAGTTTTTTTTAATAACTAAAGTATACTTATGTTTAATTGTTCAAAACTAATGTTTAGTTATTGAATGTTGAACTCAGAATAAAAACCAGGCGAGAATTACAATACCACGAGAGATTTAAAAAAGTAACGTTACCAAAAGAGAAATTAAAATGAATGCGATATCACACACCTAATTAAACTAAAATAACTGTAATGACTGTTACAAAAACAATTCCTTTGAACAATCATTTCTAATAAGCGTTCAGAAAAATAATTAACGATTGCATCACAAGCATTTCCCATAGGAGAACTATATGAAAAGCTCTCTTTAATGAAAGTTATAAAACTTTGAACAACCATTTTCAATACTCGTTTAGAATAATCATTAACCATAGTATCACAAGTAGTTTTCTTTGGAGAATTATATGAAAAACACCCTTTAATGATTGCGAAATTATTCTCTTAGAGATTAATTTGGCACAGAAAATTTTTGCTTGAATGGAATAAAAATTAGATAGAGTTGGAATACCGATACGAGAAACTACACATTGCAGGGGCTGATCCTGGTCATTGTTCTAGCGGAGTAGTCAGACTAAAAAATATATAAAAAATAAGGTTTGCCTTTTTTTTAAATAAAACAACTGTTTCATTTGATATTTAGAATGGTTTAGAAAGGTTATAAGATAGTCAGTAATGATAAATATATTGATGGTTATATAAGTTTTTTGTATTTTTACTTATTTTTTTAATTTTATCAATAATATTTTGAAGTTTGACATTTCTTAGTAGAGGAAGAGGGTAGTTACCCCGAATACCACCCACCCTCCCTCATCTTTTTGTTCACCATTTACACACTGTTTAACATAATTTAATTATCTGTAAAAATTTAATATAGAAATACGTGTTAAAAAAAATCTTTTCTTTTCTTTTAATCACGGTAGAAAAAATTGTAATAAGGGTAACAGATGAGAAATTAAAATACAGAAGTGGTACCACACAATTATTTAAATAAAAACAAAGATACCAGATGAGAAATTAAATGATAAATATGATGTCATACGACCAGCTTAGAGATTTTTTATTTAATAATAAACGAGCCATTATGTATCTCATTCATTATATGAATTTACAATTTCAAATTACTAATTGTTTATAAGAATAACATAAAAGTTCTCATGATGACCCGAGTTGCAATACCAATTGATACTATCGTTACCAAACAATACCAACATAACCGATAACTTTTGATACTAGTATCAATATCGATACCGTAAGGTATTGCACCAAGACCAAATGATACCAACATAAACACTACTTTATATACCAGTGTCGCGTGATCTCGATATCGATACTGTACGATATCGCAGCGGTACTAAACGATACCAAAATTAACGATACTTTTGATACCAGTATCACGTGATTTCGATACCAATACTGTATGGTATCGCACCAATACCAGACGAGAAATCCAGACTCGAGTCTGATTATCTAGTGTCTAATATTAATACCATTTCTAATGATACTAGAATAAAATAATGTAAATTCACAGCATTTTTTAATTTATTTATTCAGTACCTCATTTATTCATTCAATATCTATAGTTATTTTTTCAGTATCTGACTTACTCGTTCATTATCTCAGTTTATTTACATTCTATGATTGTTGGATGATCATGTATAAACAAAGATGATCAAAGGATCATCTTTGATGATCAAATATAAACAAAGATTATAGTCTTTGTAACTACTTTCGAACCGTTAACATATTTTATGTAAATTAAATTCACCTCCCTAAGTTATTTTACATTTATTCCAAAACTTTAATTTACAATATTAAAATTTTTTTTTAACTTTCTCAGTACTAGCTAAAGTGTCTCACCCATTTTCTCAAAATAATTTTTTTTCAATAATATTTCCTATAAAAATATATACAAAAATAAAATACTAATATACTTCTGATTAATATATAATTACAAAGTCATATTTGTCATCAAATTTAAAATTATCAAAAAATTATTTGAACTTTAAACTTTTCAAAATTGTGATTTTGATTAGTATTGAAATATAAAATGGGTCAAATATATAAAATATATAAAAAGAAACTGAAGTTTAGTTGCTTTGTTATAAGTAAAAGTAATAAAATAAGCTAATATAAAAGAAAAATTTTTCTTAGAAAGTATTGCAGTTATTTCAAATTGACTTTTAGTGGGAGATTGTTTAGTAGGAGTTGTGTTAGGGCTCGTTATGGTAGGTTGTTCCGTCTTAACTCATTGTTCAATACTAATCTCATTGATCTCCACCTGCTACTTCAGTGTTTGTAATTTTTTCTATCGTTTGCTAATCATTTTTCACTCTGAGTCTGTTTGTTTGAAAGGAATTGTCTTAGCTTATCAGATAAGATCAATATTTTCCGTACCATTGGATTTACGAAATCCCAGAATTTGTGTGCAAACCATTTTAACTTAGTTTCAATCTTTATGAGTGGGTATTTACTAATTATATTTAAAAGACATATTACAATCAAAGTAGGAATTTAAAGTTTATAACTATTACTAAATACTATTTTCTATCTTTATTTATCTCATGTTACTTTTACTGCGAATATTAATTTTAATACATATGCATACAAACATGAATATAGATATCTTACTTTATTTGTATGTTCACATATATACGTGTAATTTGTATGTGTAGTTGTCAATATATTTATTCATTGTCACATCATTTGCCTTTCTTTCTAATATTTTTTCTAAATCCCTAAGAATGTTCGAGCTGGAATAAAAGCTTGGATAGGGTTTAGTACTTTTGGCTTTTTGAACATTTGCAGTATTATCAACTTATATTGCAATATTGATCAGCATGACTTAGAGTGCAGGCAGCAAGATCTTTTGTACTTCCAATCAAAAACCCTACCATCTCAAATCGGTTCCAAAAATCTGTGCGCAATCTTTGTGTTGCAGAAGCAAGATTATTTGACTTGTAGTTGGAGGTTGTTGTGGAAGATTGTTTTTAATTAAAAAGACAATTATTTACTTATTTGAAAGTTACAACACTTGGTATACCCAATTTATGCAACACTTTTCAACGTTTTTTCAAACTTTTTTTCAACGTCCTTTTATATTTTATGGCTTTACCTAGATATTCCTGACTCCAAAGCTATCATAAATAACACATTTAAAATTTTTTTTAAAACAATGCTTGTATATCATATAAACAATCAATAAAAAAAAAAAAAAATGAGAAAGATATAAGAAAAGAAACAGCAACTTACCTTAAAAAATATAGTACAAAATGATAACCAAATACAAAAATCACATCAAGTTCAAATATATTTATAAGTTTAGAATATTTTTGAACTGTTTAATTTTTTTTTAACAACTTCGCTTCCAACAAGGCTGCAAGCAACTACTATTAAGGTTGGAAGTTACTGGAAAATAAAAGATAAGTTTGTAAAGCTAGATAATGATTAACAGACAACTTAAAAGTTTGCAAATTATATGAATCAGGAAAGCAAAATGAAGGAAGCAAATTCCTAAAAACTGATGTTCAAGGAAAAAAACTAGAGGAACAAAAAAAGGATGAGACTTAATTGAATGACGAGTAACACGAGAATGAGTTTTAGTAGATGGCACAAGAGACGCTAGCTCTTTATAGCAATAAAAATGTAGAATAGAGAAGGAGAAGCTGGATTTGAGATTTATAGATATAGAGAATAGAATCAGGAGTAAGAAAGTGTCAAGCACGACAAAGAGA